CTGGCTCAGACTAAGGTAAGGGATCATAACGCTTTATAAATCAATAGCTTCTTCATAAACCATTTGTTACTTCATTGTTTTCTCCCTGTCCCTCTTGATCATGTTCTATTCATCATCCGCTGAGCTCTTCATGGTCAGGCCCAGGAGGCTGTCACTCCAACAGGCTTGCTGCTCCACTGTCCCTGCACCAGCTTGGCTTCTGATGTTCAGGTGCTAACACCTGTCCTTCGTGCATCAGCGTGTCTCATCCCCAGCAGCACTGACAGTCCCATTCTGCAATAGCAGGTTGTCTCAACGGCCCTGACCTACTGCAGAGATGCCGCTACTGAATGTTTCAAGGGTGATGGGATTCCTCTCACCAGCATGTTCTTGGGGGAGAGGGGAAGGGGGGTGACAGGCATGTGGGAGGGCATTTGTTGGGATAAGCACTGGGTGTTATATGGAAACCAACTTGACAATAAACTATTTAAGAAAACAAAAAACAAAAAAAAAAAATCCTTAAAGCTGTAATTCAGAGATAGCAAATAGAGGCCACTCTAGCTGAGACTGCAAAAAGTCACCAGAAACTTTATACATTTGTTTTAAAGTGAATATGAGAATTAAAACAGCCAGGCCAAGGTGAAAACAAGATTAGGGTGCAATTGCGGTATTTTCCAGTACTCCGATTCTTAGCCTTTAACCCCTTATTGAGTTGCCTAATGTCATTTCTAGGAGCAATGAGCAATTTATATCGTTAGTGGTCAACTTCACATTCCTGTTAGTATTTATTAGTATTATAGTTTACATTTTTCTTATTTATGAATAAGTAAACAAGCTTTCCTTATAAAATTCATATTTCCCTCCCATTCCCGATCTCATCGAGTTCTCCCCAGAAGGAACCAATGTTACTAGTTTTCATTAATTTTTTCCCATATAAACCATACTGCATACACAGTGTTGAGTCCCTTTTTTTTCCTTAAAGTATAGCTTGAATATTTTTCCATATTAGTATATATAAACTTTGTTGTCAAATTATTTAGCAATTACTCAGAATTCTACCACATATATGCACTACTTTATATTTATACTACCACTTATGTTTATAAAAATTTACATTTATATTACCAGTCTTTCCACTAAAAGCAATGCCTCAATGGGTCTCACTTGTGTTTGTGTGTGTGTATAATTTTGCACATGTATTTTTCTAAAACTGAACATGGTGTATCAAGGCACAACTGCATTAAAATGTAAGAAATATTAGGACAAACTCTCAACAGAAATTTTACAATTTACGTTCCAATGTGAGAAAGACTTTTTCCCATAACTGTCTAACACAATTTGCTATCAAATTTATTGATCCTTGTCAATCTGAGAAGTGAAATATTATATAGCCAATGGCTTTAGTTTCACTTCTATAATGGTAAGGCTGAATACCATTTATTTATTTTAATTTCTGTTAACTATTCACATACTGAGTTTTATCTCTTTTATACTGCTTAGATTAGCTCTTTTTCTGAAAATATATTTTCAGAGTGCTGTTTGTCTTTTGACTTTTTTGACATTAAGGATTTTTTTCAGTTTTATATACTTTTGTACATGTTTTATGTCTTCTGGTTTTTTAGTCATGCTTAGAAAGAACTTCCACATTTCAAGATTTTTAAAAAAGATTTCAGATTTCTAAATTTTATGGTTTCAGTCTTCATGTTTAAATCTATAGCACATCTGGAATTTGCTTTGCTATAATAAATATGAGGTCTAATATCTGTTTTCTCTAAGTGGCTATCAAGTTGTCTTAGATAATTTATTGGACAGTTCCTTATTTCCCACAGACTTGAAAGCCTTTAAGATAAATAGTTCCTAAAAGCATTTGTTTCTGTCTCTACGTGATGGAAATGGTTTTATAGTTTGTCTGTCTTGTTAGGATCTGTGCTGCACTGGTCTAATTACTGTAGCTTTCAGAAAAGGTGTTCATGTGGAGCAAATATGGTCCTTTGTTACCCTTCCTCTGTATTACCCAATTTTTTAAAGCATCGTAAGCATTTCCATTTAAACTTGTATAAAGGTAGTAGTAGCCTAGCTATCTTCACAAAAACATCTTTTTTTTTTTTACCTCAGAACACATTAAATTTATAAATGAATTGGGGGGAATGGACTTGAAATATGTATATTCTTTTCTTCTTTTGTGATTTTCAGAAGCATTCTTGATAGGTTTTTTCCAAGGTATTTTTTTACCTATATTGCAAATTTGGTCTATCTCCTAAACAAGCAGTCTGCAATTTTTTTCTGTAAAGGGCCCAAAAGGAAACATTTAAAGTTTTGTGAGTCATGTGGTATTTGTTGCAGCTACTCAGCCCTGCTCTTGTGGCATAAAAGCAGCCACAGACAATATGTAATTGACTAAGGGCGGTGCTGTTCGAATAAAAATTTACTTAGAAACGCGGCAGCAAGACAGATTTGTCCTGTAGGCTAAAGTTTGCTGACGTCTGTTATAAAAAGTTATTTCTCTTCAAACTAATAAAACAAATACGTAATCCATCTAATGTGTGTTGGGCACTGATCCCCCCTCTCACAGGCATTTTTAATGTTTGACATGTTCCTGAGTGAAACTTAAAAAGCACACACGTCAAAAATAAGGTGGAACATGTATCTGCATTCTATAATTTTCTGAAAGGAAAAATTAATCCTGTTTAAACGGTGAGCTCAGGCCCTTCAGCCTCTGACCAACTAATTGAGGAGGGATGGGCAGAACTACAGTTGCTTTGGGGGAAGGGTGTTCAGGTTCTGTGAAATCTGGGGAGTTTAATCGTTTCTAGTAATCTCCATCAGATTTCTCAGGCAATTTATTTCTGCATTCATCACCTCATCTTTCATCCTAAATCCTTCATTAAACAAATCCGTTGGGATCTAAAACAAAGGGTTGGCGGGAAAGGAAAAAGTAAACTTTTGAAAATCCACATTTTTTCGAGTCATACTTTATATGTAAGAACTTTGTAAATTATCTGTTTTATGCATAAAGTGATTCTTTCTTATTAGGTCACCAGGGGGAAATATTTGGAGCAGAGAATATCTTCTGGGTTCTACCTGGGCAGTGAGAAGTTTCCAACCTTACCAATATCCATACACCAGTAGCTTTTTGCTAGGGTATTAAACCAGGCATGGGGGCAAATGCAATAATATGTTCCAACCAAAACTGCGGGTTGGGAAAGTGCATTTGTTCACACGTACACATTTTCGGTCCACTTGGGATAACATGTTCACCTGTATCATAGAAATAATGGGAACTTTAAGCCGATCAAGAAATCTGATGCAGACACTGGGAAATGGGAAAAGAGAGAATTTCCCTGGTGCTATGTGATGACTTTGGCAAGCTATGCAGCAAGTTTAGAAAGTATTGGTTCCCTACATTTCTAAGTCTGGACATATCTGATACTTTCAAGTCAGCATGGATCCGTATCAGTATCTTTGAGTGGTCATAGGGTTTCTGACAACTGGCAGAGATCTTGGTAAAGTGCCCTGTTGCTGCTTACATTAAAAACACCTGGTTGGATTATCTACATGATAATCCAAGAAATCCTGCTTAATTTGGGTTCCATGAGATCATTCTAGAATCCCACCAATATGGCAAGTTGGAAAGGTTATCTATGTTCTCCAAGGACTCGGAAGGACCAAGGTCATCCTGGACTCTGCAGGGTCTCTGTGGAACAGAACTCAAAGGCCTCTCGAAAAGTCAGGATTCAATACTGTCAGTGAATCAAATGCAATGAATGACAGTAATGCTTCCCTCTTCAATTTTGCTTTAACTTTCATCCCTTCCTTCCTGCTGTACCAGGACAATGACCAGAGATCAGAAACCAAATCAAATTTTTTGAAGGAGAGTGTGAGCACACCATCAATAGTAGGTTTGAGAATATGATGGGAGTGGCCTTGACTGTGTGGCTGATGTACAGCTACAACTCTGCTTATTATTTTCAGGTTCAGAGGAGCGTTCATGGCAGAGAAGAAGGGGGAGCTCATTGTTTTGGAAGGAGCTCATTGTTTTGGAAAGATCTTTGCTCAGCCTGGCAGAGGGCACTGCAGGAGCCTACCCATCTGAGAGTAGAGCCCTGCCCCTTGCCTACTCTGGCCTTGTCTCCAGAGGTGAGGGCTTTATCTGCCTGCAGGCTGGATTTCTCTATGGTGGGGTGTGACTTCAAGAAGGTCGAGAGGACCTCATTTGCCCGAGGGATTAAGAAGGAGCAAAGGACTTAGATTTCCACTGAGATGATTTGTTCTATACAAATTCCATGTCAGTTTTACTTTCTACTTAAAATATTCCAGGAACCCCCAACAAAATGTTCAATCTCCTTACGTGACCAGAGACTCTCCATATCTCCCTCCATATCATCCCCCAGAGCTCCTTCCCTCCTCCTCCCCCCGCTCAGGCTTCAGCCAGTTAGAATAATGTGCAGCTGGGGGTGCCTGGGTGGCTCAGCTGGTTGAGCGTCCAACTTCGACTCAGGTCATGATCTTGTGGTTTGTGAGTTCGAGCCCCACCTCAGGCTTGCTGCTGTCAGCACAGAGCCCATGTCGTATCCTGTGCCCACCCCCCCACCTTTCCCCGACTCACACTCTCTCTCAGAAAATAATAAAACATTAAAAAAAAAAAAGAAAACAAATTATATGCAGCTGTACAAACCCAAAATCTCTGGTGCTTCCATATATTTGCATGTTTACTTAAGGCTCTTCCCTTTGGATAACATCTCAACCTGGACAACACATACAGATATATATCCAAAGTATATATCCCCTTTCTCTTTGGGGAAGTTTCCTAGGCTGTATGCCAATGTGAAATGCAGACCGTAATCTATGCAGATGTCCTCCCTTGCTACCCACTAGATTTGTGACTTTAAGCAAATTATTTAACCTGACTCTGTTAGTTCACATCTAAAATGTAGGTAATAAGAGTAGATGCTTCATAACATTTTTTGGAGGATTAAATTAAAATCTCTAGAGAAGGAGCTGAACACTATGACTATAGGCAATAATAGTTCAGTATATGGTTTATTATTTTATTACTACCAGCGTTGCAGCCCAGGATCATAGGTTCATAAGTGTTCTCGCTCTCTGTGCAATTGTCTATTTGTATGACTCTCTCACTTTGATCAGCCTTGAGTGCAAAGATTCTAACTTTACATCATAAATCCTCAGCACTTGGCACAAGGACGGTCATACTGTTGGATGAAGAGATAAATAATTTCTGCTCTGTCTCACGTGGATTTCAGAAATCCAAACTCCTTTTTTTGGGAATGGGCATTTCCACTCTCCTAAGGAGTATATAACACATAGTCGACCTGAAAAGCTAAATCTGCCCTGATATCCCCATGCCATCTTATCACTCACAGCTGGTGCTGTGCTCTCAGATTTTTCTGGAGGCCCCTTGAGTGTCTTCTGTTGGCTTCCCATGCTCCTTGTATTTCTCACCTTCACTCCTTTCCTGGGCACTTGCAAATAGTTCCATTCACTACTTTTCTTTTGCTTCCCTGTAAGAGCTTGTGCCCTCCAGGAACAGAGAAAGTTCCTGCTGAAATACTTGCTATTAGGGCCTTCGAAAGCTGATCAAGTTAAGTTTGGCAGCATTCAACAGATGCCTCTTTGTTCTGCAACCAAAAAAAGCCTCCTGCTTATCCTTTATGATTTCATTCAAGGAAATATACAGGGATGTCACCAGAAGAAAGGAACAGAGGAGATCAAATTCCAAAGAATCTACTAAATGGCTGGTCTAACTGTGGTCCTCTCAAGAAAAGCATTCTAGTGAAGCAACATAATCAAGGCAGCTAGAACCAGGAGTTTTACTTCCAACTCCAAAAATTCTCTCTGCAAGTCTTGCTAAAGCTTCTAAACCTCTTGGGTGTCAAATTTTTCATCTGTAAAGTGTTGAAATTGCATGATCTATTCTCTGTAGTTCCTAGAGGTTGTAGCATCCTGTGATTCTATCTTCAATAGTATAATGACACAACTAAAACAAAAGTAAACATAAAGGATAACTTGCTAAGTGAGTGTGTCCAGGGAATTAATATCTGGGAATAGGAGTGAGTATACCTAAAGAGCCTCCAGCACAAGAGTGACTTGAGCGAGTTCTGGAACCATGCCACTGTTCACTAAAGGTGAAATCAATGCCGATTCTGCTTGAGAGATCTGGAAAATCCTAATAAGTTTCCCAAGCTTTGAGAAAAAAGATGGAAGTAGAGTCCTCTAGAATTCTGTCTATGAGAGTCCATACTACTTAACACAAATAAGACATGAGCTATGGACTGAATATGTAGAACTCTGGGCATCATGTTAGAAGAGCAAGAATCAGGAAGAACCAATGCTAAGACAAAGTGAAGAGCCAAAAATTAAGTCCTCCATTAAGAGAAACCTCGGGCTGCACGGAGCCCCAGTCCCAGTCCCAGGAAAAGCCTCAGACTGTTCAAGGCTAAAGCCATCCTCGGACCGCCCTCAGTTCAGCTGATCAAAAAGAAAAAAAAGAAACATTCCTATGGTCTGAGTCAAGGCTGGAAACTGCAGATACAAACTAGCCAATTTCTCACTGCTTGTCTGAACCCCATGTGGGCCCTTTAAACTCACCTCACAACTGGTCATTTTCAAAGATTCTCAAAAGTCATGATTGGGTCCCACCAAAAGTAATGAACATCTCACAGACACTGAATGGTCAAAGCTGTAATTGTAATTGGTGTTTATATGATGATGCTACATGTATTGTAACACCCCCATCCCTTACTCCTCAAAAACCCTGTTCGCTATTGTTCTTGGCTTCACCTTGCTGCCATGACACCAGCAGGCTGGGTGAGCCCCTACTCAAGCTTGTAATAAAGACCCTTTTGTACTTGCATCGGTGCCGGCTCCTTGGAGTGAGGGGCCTAGACAAACTAAACCAAAAACTCAACCAGCTTTTCTGCTTCCGTACAAGTGCTTGCACTACGGGAAACTAAAAGCTAACTAGCTCCTTCCGCTTCTGTACCATTGCTTAAGGCTTCCATTGCTTAAGGCTTGAGTTTCAGCTTCCCCGGAGCTATCAGGCAGCAGCACACTGCCCAAGACCGGAGAAACTGCCCACCACATCACTCCACCACACTACCCTGGCAACACTCAATCAGGAAAGGCCAGCGGCCACCCTCCGCCTTACTGAAGGAAAGGCCTAGAGAGAGAGAAGTTAACCTGTTAGTCGCCGAACAAGACTCTAGACTCGCTCTATGATTGGCTAAATTCAAAGGTATCCTAAATGTTGTAATTGGATCCTGCCAAAAACCTGATGGCGGGAACCAATCAAATATAATATATGTTCATATTTAAATATCAACCAATGACAAACCTGTAACCATAGAGATCCCCTGTCCCTCCCCACGACTTGTTTACTCCTGTCTATAAAAAGGCTGCAAAGACTTTGTTCAGGGCCTCTCAGCGTCACCTGCAACGAGTGCGCGGAGGTCCGGGTTCGAACCTGCAAATAAACAACCCTTGCCGATTGGCTTTGACTCTGGTCTCTGGTGGTCTGTTTTTGGGGTCTCTCGTACTCTGGGCGTTTCAAAAGCACCACAAGTCTTCTGTAACTCCCGCTTGTCATCCTTGAAGGAATGCTCCATGAAGACTGCAATGGCTTCCCTCTCACAGTCCGCATGCACATCCAGCAGCTCCTGGAGCGTGTCTGTGGGGAACCTCACTCGCTGGGCCATCTGCTCGCTGTAGTGGTCGGCTGCCTTCTGCACGGCCACTGAGTTCTCACGCTGGGCCAGTGTTGTCACCAACACTGCTTCTCCAAGCAAGGAACTTCTCCCTTCTTGATGGTATCCATGTAGGTCACCACCAGAGTCCTCACCACTGAATAAAGCGGAAAATAGTGTTAAATATCAATTTCTCAGTCAGTGAGACTCAAGATTCTGAGAACTGAAATTACAGTTCTAGAACCATACACACCTGCTTACTAATATTATCACCACATTTGTTTCCCCTTTCACTTCATTTATTCATTAATTGTATTTTACTCTAGGCTATAACATTGGGGGGGGGAGATAAAAACCTACCTTCATCTAACTTAATCAGAGGTGTCTGAGAAAAATGATCTCTCCTTAACACAAGTTAAGAGAAAAATAGACCATCTAGGTAGACAGCTTAGGGTAATTCACATAGTTTACTCCTAGTTCTTAAACTTTCCATCGATTTCCAGGGACTCAGAAAGTAACATTTATTTTGGACTGGTTTAAACTTCCAAGTAGTCTCCTTTGGAAAAAACACGTTATATAGAATTTCCTCTGAGAAAACAGTCCTTTATACCCAGTTAGTGATTTTATTATCAATTGTTACATTTTTCTTCTATATGGGAACCCCAGATATCAGTGACATGTTGGGTTTTAGAAAGGGATTTGTTAATCCCATGATGAGAGATCATTACTAAAACACATTTCTCTCTGGGGTATGAATATTTATTTTTAAGTAGACACATATATAAAATGATACAAACCTACTGACTGGCACATATCATAATTCCATAGTCAACACATATAAGGCCACAGAGAAATATGATTTTGGAAAAGGAGACTCACTGTTCTTAGTAACCTTGACTTTTTTCCTGAGGGTCTTAGCCCTTGTGTGGGTAAAGATATAAGAACAGAAATGATTTGACTGTTTATGGAACTCAGGATTCAGTTGTTTTTCCAAAATATATCCAGTATGGAATAGGAGTTCCTTTTCATGTTTTGACTGGCCAAAGACAAAACAATTTTTTTTTTTGAAATAACATTTGATATACTGTGTTGGAATTTTTAGCTTTGGGATTCTAACCTAGGGAAGAAAGAAAACAGGGTTCCAGTAAGCACATTCTCGGGACAAAGCAGCTACAGACTTTATGGGTGGGGATTTTCAATCTTTAGAGTCTTCTGTGCTCATAGAACTTCTTTAACATGTTCACACAAATTGCAAATCAAACTCATGAATGAGCTATTATTGGAAAGAAAATTTTTAATGAACTTTTTAAATTCAAGCATAATTAACATATGGTATTATATTAGTTTCAAATGTAGAATATAATGATTCCACAGCTCTATACTAGTGCTCATTACAGTAAATGTACTCTTAATCCCCTTCACCTATTTCACCACCCTCCACTTCCCCTCTTGCAATCCCATTTGTTCTCTAAGAGTCTGAGTTTTTCATTTGTTTCTTTTTAATTTGTTTATTTTGTTTCTTAAAGTCCACATATGAGTGAAATCGTAGGTATTTGTCTTTCTCTGACTGACTTATTTCACTTAGTATTTTATTTTCTAGATCCATCCATGTTGTTGCAAATGGCAGGAGCTCATTCTTTTTTATGGCCAGGTAATATTCCATTGTGTATATGTACCATGTTGTCTTTATCCATTTATCTATCAATGGGTTGCTTCCATATTTTGGTTATTTTAAATAATGCTACAATAAACATAGGGATGCATACGTATTTTCAAATTAGTGTTTTCATTTTCTCTGGGTAAATACCCAGTAGTGGAATTACCAGGATAATTTTATTTTTAATTTTTTTTAGAAAACTCCGTACTGTTTTCCACAGTGGCTGTACCAGTTTGGACTCCCACCAACAGCGCATCAGGATTCCTTTTTCTCCACATTCTTGCCAATATTTTTTCCTTGTGTTTTTGATTGTAGCCATTCTGACAGTTGTGAGGTGATATCTTTTGAAGTTTTGATTTGGGTTTCTCTGATGATGAGTGAGGTTAAGCATCCTGTCATGTGTCTGCTGGCCATCTGTATGTCTTCTTTGGAAAAATGTCTATTCATGTCTTCTACCCATTTTTAATTGGACTGATTTTGGTGTTGAGTTGTATATGTTGTTTGTATGTTTTGTATATTAACTCCTTATCAGATATATCATTTGCAAATATCTTCTCCCATTTTGTGGGTTGTCTTTTTGTTTTGTTGACAGTTTTAGTCACTGTGCAAAAGATTTTTATTTTGGTGTAATTTCAGTAGTTTAATTTTGCTTTTGTTTCACTTGCTAACGGAGACCTATCTAGGAAAATATTTCTATGGCTGATGTCAAAGCGATTGCTACTTATGTTTTCTCCTAGGAATTTTATGGTTTCACATCTCACATTTAGGTCTATAATCCATTTGGAGTTAATTTTTGTGTATGACTTGAGAAAGTGGTCCAGTTTCATTCTTTCACATGTAGCTGTCCAACTATCCCAACACCATTTATTTGTTGAAGAGACTGTCTTTTTCCCATTGCAATAATAACCTTGCCTTCTTTGTTGTAGATCAATTGACCACATAAGTGTGGGTTTATTTCTCGACTCTCTATTCAGGTCTATTGGTCTTTGTGTCTGTTTTAGGCCGGTACCATACTGCTTTGATGACTACAGCTTCTTAGCTGTATAAAGCTTTATAGCTTTATAGCCCTGGCAGATGGCACTGCTTTCTTCATCATGGCCTTACTTGCTAGTGATGACTCATGGGGTATCACCTATCTCCAAAGATTTACTTCTTTAATAGCATTCTGATGCTGCTTAACATTTATTTATTACTGGGTCAGCCTTGGTCCAGTTGTCTTAATCACATGATCTTATTGGCTCTTGGAAAACCCTAAAGGTTAAAGGTATTGATTTCTCCTTTGTAGATAAATAATAGTAGATTAGGGCTGACACACTTGACAAAAATTGTTACAGTGAGATGCAGAATCCAGAAGTAAACACTGGTCTCTTTGTCTCTTGCTACACTTAGTGACACAAAAACTTACTTGAAATTAACTTTCTTACCAAAATTTTTTATCCCTTAAGCCCCTTATAAATGAAGTATTGGCGTACTATATTGCTTATCACATAGCAGGTTTACCATGTGCCAGTATAACCAAGCAGTTGCTGTTACTTTTGCAGTGTCTGCTTTTCATCCTGCAGCCATTAAATTGTTTCTAGACAAACCTTTATTTTTCAACACCTCATCAAAGAATTCAGTTCATCTCAGTTTTTATGACATCCAGCCCTACTTATTATCTTTATTCTACTGCTCATCAGATATTTGATGAGCACCTGTTATGGTCAGCTATGGCACTCAGTTCTGGGGTTACAAATGTGAAAATACAGTCATTGCCTTCCAAGTTTCTTAGAAATTATAATAGCTAGAGCCAGGCTCATCTAGAGTTAGGTTCACTATTATTCATCTGTAAGTAATAGAGAAGAACCAGCAAAGTATGGCTTCAAGAAGATGAAAGCTTTGTTATGAACTTTTTTGTAACCTTTTACTTGTAAGTCCTGTAATAAAACAATCCAGGACTGGTATTGAGGCTCTGCTTAAAGAAGTCAACAGGGGCACAAGGCTCTTCCTGAAACAACGTCAAATCTGGATATAACAGCCACATATTCAGGGAACCTGAGGAGGACACCAGAATCAAAAGTAAAAGTAATCCTTGCTGTTCTGAACTACTTAGGACAGTTATGTGGCTATCAGTGGACTACAGAATGTATATGAGTGAAAGGGGGTTGGAAAGTCCATACTTTCTCCCTGCTCAGGTTTCAGGAGTCCTAAGACAATCCACTTGTCTATCTTCCCTCCAGTTCTCACCCTGGAAGAGTTTCACACAAACGTTTCTGCATGCACTGCTCCCCACTGACTTCAGGGTCCTTGCTACACATGATAAAGAATATATTAAAATTATTTCAATAGCTTACTTCTTAGAGATTTCTTGGATAGTACCTTAGAGAAGTTTCAGTTGTTTCACTTGTTTCTCAAGTATTCAGTTTGATAAACAATCAGTGTTTTTATAAAACAATCAGAAAACATAGATGAACAAAGGTAACAACCAGATACTGTGTCTGCAATTTGGGAGAATGGCTCCTCACATTTAAACAATTGTTTCTCCCCCACTGTTCACACACTTGCATCTGCTTCTGCATATTGTGGGGTATATTTTCACTGCCTCTTGGAGACTCAAGAAGGGGTGATTAGACAGAATATCTCTGTAGAGGGTACAAATAAGCAGAGAATAGATGGACATAGGTGGTTGCATAGGTGGAAGTAGGCAGTAGAAAATGTAGCAGACAATATTTTTACAATATCAAGTTTCTGGTTGCAAATGTGGACTTACTTATTAATTTCTTTTTGAGGGAAGTGCATCATAAAATAAGAGGATATATAGTTGGATTAGAAAATGAAGTCCTTTCTCTCTCTAAATTGTAGTAATTGTGGGAATAAACCAAAATTGCCTTTAGGGTTGGCTTTCTTTGAAGAGAAGAGCAATATGGCTCAATTCACATCAGATAGCAAGTGTCATTACCGCTGACATATATGGAGCTTCTCCTCATGAGTCTGTGTGGTACTTACAGTCTGAGTGAGTGAAAAAGAGCCTTACTGGTAGAAATGAATAGTCACTTGAAATCTTAGATCATAATTATACATTTTGATGAAGTTGTCCCTTTTTATTCCCTCCCCCAAATGAAGCAATTATTCCCTGCACATTTAAAATTTCAGTTCAGAGTTTCCTTTCTCTTTCTCTCTTACTATGTCTTTTGAGATTTCCTGCAGGAAATTTAAAGATCTCTATTCATTTTGCTCATCTTTTATACTAATGAAGGTTAATGTCTATATCGCTTTTAAAAAAGGACTCTAAAATACAATGTTTACAAATATGAAAGAGTATTTCATGTTACTCTTGAAATTTCTTTTTTTTTTTTTCACTCTTGAAATTTTCTAGGTTTCTGAGGCACATATCTGGACTCCAGATCTTGAGACAGGAAAAGAGAATGTCAGAATACTTATTCAATATTTGAAGGCCCAGACTGAAATATGGTATATTCCATGTGTACTCATATTTTGTTTATGAAAACGAAAACACTTGGACATACCTGGCTGCAGTATAGGAAATATGGTCTCTAGGTGAATGGCCATGCACTAAGTAGAAAGAATAGAACAGAACCTTTTTTTTTCCTTTTTGATGGGGAGGTAACCAGAGTCAGCTGCACCTCTTAAAATATAATCATAGTGGGGCACCTGGGTGACTCAGTCGGTTAAGTGTCTGACTTCAGCTCAGGTCATGATCTCACGGTTCCTGGGTTTGAGCCCCGCGTCGGGCTCTGTGCTGACAGCTGGCTCAGAGCCTGGAGGCTGCCTTTGGATTCTGTGTTTCCCTCTCTCTCTGACCCTCCCCTGCTCATGCTGTCTCTCTCTCTCTCTCTCAGAAATAAATAAATAAAACATTTTATATATATATAATATATATATGATCATAGAATCACAGACTATTCAGTAGGATATGTTGACCATAGAAAAATAATATAGTAAAATATATATTATATATATGTAATATAGTATAGTTCATAATAGCATAAGTTTGGAACCAAGATGCATGTTTTCAAATTGCATTTTTACATCCTGTGATTTTGTGACCTTCAGTAATTTAGCTAACTTCTTTCTGTCTTAGTTTTCTCATCTACAGAATAGTAATAATAATAGGACCAATTTTTTAGTCTTGTGATGAGAATTAATGAGTTAATATCCTTAAAGCATTGGGCACATAATAATTAATAATTAACTTTCTATTAGTAAGAGTAATAGTGAACTCCAATTGGAATGGCTGGTCATCTCACTAAAGTGTTTATTGGCCATGTCACTCAACTCAAAAATTAACTTCTTCTCTCCTTAAACCCATGTTTTGAATGTGAGCGGCCAACTTCTTGACCTTGCCTCTGTGGCCATGGTGATTATCCAAGTGGTAGATAATCTCAAGCCAGAATAATCACAGCTTCTCCAGTTTATCCTGGAGGGATTATCAACAGATGTTAATTTTAGAGGAGGGATGACCCTATTACACAAGACAGAGTAATCAGAGTATTTCCTATGATCAGAAAGTCCTCTTGGATCATGAGGATGTAAATTTTTTTTTTTTGAGTTAAGTCAATTTTTTTTTTTTTTACAAATAGTTTATTGTCAAATTAGTTTCCACATAACACTCAGTGCTCATCCCCACAAGTGTCCTCCTCCATGCCCATCCCCCCCTCCCCCTCACATCCATCAGTCCTCAGTTTTTGTCAGCATTCAAGAGTCTCTCATGGTTTGCATCTCTCCCTTTCCCCCACCATTTCCCCCCTTCTTCTCCCCCTTGTTCCTCCGTCAAGTTCCTCCTAATCCTCCTATACGTGCAAACATATGATATTTGTCCTTCTCTGCCTAACTTATTTCGCTCAGCATAACACCCTCAAGGTCCATCCATGTTGCTACACATGGCCAGATTTCATTCTTGAGGATGTAAATATTTAAGTGTTGAAGTAAAATAGCAAAAGAAAACATAAAGTAAGAGTACTTCCTTCAGCACCCATTGTTTGTAATTGTTACAAGGTGTTTGTTTTAAAATATGATATTAAGTAAGTCTAATTACAGAGGAGTGCATTGGTGTATTGATAAGAGTATATTAGTAAGAGACAGATTGTAATCAGAAAGTTTTCCTAAACTGGTAGAAGTTAGCAAATAACAAGTTTGATAGAATTGGAATAATGTTGTTTCATGTTCCATAAATTAATACATTTACAACTGTGAAAAACTATTTGAGCACCTTGCTTAGAAATAAGGTGTTATTTGTCTGTCACCTAGTGTTTGCAGTTCAGGGGTCTTAACAGACATTCCCAGACAGGAATCATGCAGTGTACAGAGAAGGAAAAGAAACCTGATGATATCCAGATTTGCATGGGGTTCCTGAAAACATAGACACTAAGCAGTTTCAGGTCAGGAATATTTTTAGTGAAGTTCCTCAGCTAAGCAAATCTGAGGATAAAAGGAAAAAAAATTTTAGAATCAAGATTTATAGGCATTAGAATTCATAAACAAGGAAAAGACAGTAGTTATTGTGACATAAAGCTGAAAACAACAGAATGAATACTTTGGGTATTGCTGGCATGAAGAAATATAGAAAAAAGGAAAAGGAATTGATACTGTGAGTAACTCAAAGTCTGCTTTCAGTTCAGCAGTTACTATACTTAGGCCCTGGGGAGCAGAATGGAAACAAAAATTTAGGAGGACTTAATATTTTTAGGATATGAACTTGAAGGATACTGGATACTAGCATTTTGTATTTACGAACTTAAGAAAAGAAAAAAGGGTCTCTTGTGACCTTCCTCGAGAATCTCTGATGGTCCCTCTATTTTATGTCCTTTATTACAGGTTCAGCCAGCTGTGCTTTCTACCTCTTCCACCCCTAACTCAACATATTTATTTTAGGCCACATCATTGATGGTAATCCTAGGTATCTAAGGTATAGCTCAGACTCTTAGTCATCCCTCGCCTTGCCCTAACCCCATTCCCCAAAGAACAGATTGGGTGCCTTGCAAGTGAGACAGTTGGAATGAGTATCTTCTCCCTTGATCCCAAGATCCAGTCTGTGAAATCAAAATCATTAGGTAGTTTAGTTTCTTCTCTTTCCAGTACCTGTAATAGCTCATTGGTGGTGGTAAATATATATGTGAGTAGATTGTTGTTAATCTACACTGCTGGAAATGCCCCTTAATACATGTGTTCAGAACTTTTCAGGAATAAAGCATTGTTATAGATGGCTGGGAAGATGGTAGATTAGGAGAACCCCAAGCTCCCTTCCTCTCATCGATACGGCTAGATATAATGGATACTCACATCAGTGTAAATAACCCAGAAAACCACCCAAGGGCTAGAAGAAAAAACTCCACAACTAAATACAGAGAAAAGGCCACACTGAGGAGGGTAGGAAGGGTGGAAATGCTGTGGGGAGGTAAATGGACCTGCCAGACTGTCAGAAGCACAGAGAAGGGAGAGAAGTAGACTCTCACACTGGGTAGCTGGTATGGGGAAGATGAATCCCCATAACATTTGCTTTGAAAACCAGAGGGTCCAAATTTTGTGGGTTCTCGCAACCAACAGAATTTTAAAAATCAATAAACTCAGCTCTGTGAGAGTCAGGCTGGTGAGAGGAAACTGAGTCCCCACCCTTAAAGAGATAGCACAACAAACAGCCCACAGAAGTATAGCATAGACGCAACAGTTTGAAAAACACCCCGGGCATACAGGAAGGAGACTTATTTACTAATATCAGAGGATGAATGGGACAGAGATCTGTGGGAGACCCCTCTAGGATGAAAAGAGGTGACCAGTGCCATTTTCCTCTCCCACCCCACAGCATAAACACACAGCCACCCACATGAACCAGTGTGGCACCAGCACTCCCCACCTAACTGGCTCATACCATCACCCTGTCCAGCCCCTTCAGCCAGGCCTGCCTCAGTCCCAGCACTGCAGGTCCCCACTCTAAGGACCAAGGCAGCTTTGGTTACACCACATCTCCCTACCTACACACATTGCCGATCCATGCCCTCCAACCTACCAGCGTGGTCCTGGTGGCAGTGGCATATCTCGCAGAGGACCAGCATGCAAACCTTGTTAAAATTGCGCACACACACCCTGCCCTTACATCTTCTGAATCCGCCCCCTCCAGCGTGCTCTTGGCCAGAGCCCGTCCAAAGTGGGGCCACAAGCCTGGCAGTTTGCAAGCAGTTGCAACAGAGGCCAGCACTGCCCTACCCCAGGAAAAGAGAAAGATAATCACACACACATACATCAGTCAGACTGTGGCCCCAGCAACGGGCTGCGGGAAGACAGCTTATCTGACTGCAGCCTCCACCCACCACAGGAAGCTTCTCAGGGGACAACACAGGGAAAGCTCCTTACAGTTTGGTGCAGCTGCATCACTGGCAAACTCCTGGTCTGACTCAACCGAAGCCCAAGGGAGCCTAAGATTGGTCTATGAACACCACAAGGATGAAACACTGTTCCCAACAGACAAAGAAAGCCACTGGAGACGATGGGACTGAAGGAAACAGGGGCTCAGCCACAATAGTAGGGCACATATAGCACGCATAGAAGATACCCCTGAAGTGCCAGGTTCCAATAAATGAGGGACATTGCATGGCAAGGCACCACAGGACCTCCTACTCATAAGGGCACTACTTTCAAGATCAGGAGACATAGCCAACTTTCTTAATACACAGAGACACACATGGAAAGGTACACACAATGAGGAGACAGACTAATGTGTCCCAGATGAAAGAATAGGATAAAATCACAGCAAGAGACCTAAGTAAAATGGAGATAAGCAATATGCCTGATAGGCAATTTAAAGTAATGATCATAAAGATACTCACTGGACTTGAGAAAAGAGTGGAGGACATCAATGAGACCCTTAAAAAAGAGGTTAAAAAGAATCAGAGATGAAGAACACAATGAATGAAATTAAAAATATGCTAAGTGGAATAAATAGCAGACTAGAGAAAACAGAAGAACAAATCAGCAACCTGGAGGACAGGATAATGGAAAGTAAGCAAGGTGAGTAGGTGAGAGATAAAAAGAACTATGCAAAATGAGAACAGATCTAGGGAACCCAGCAACACTATTAGCATAATAACATTTGCATTATAGGGATCTGAGAAGGAGAAGAGAGAGAAAAGGGGCAGAACCTTTATTTGAAGAAACAGTAGCTGAAAACTTCCTGCATCTGGGGAAGGAAACAGATATTGAGATCCAGGATCCACAGAGACCCCTCACCAAAACCAACCGAAGAAAGTCTACACCAAATCCATAGTAATTAAAATGGTACAAAGTAGTGATAAAGAATTTTAAAAGCAGCAAGGAAAAAAAAGAAAACAGTTACATACAAGGGATCTCATAAGGCTATCTACGGATTTTTCAGTAGGAACTTTTCAGGCAAGAAGGGATGGCATGATATATTAAAAGTGCTGAAAAGAAAAAATTCTGCAGCCAAGAACACTCTATCTAGCAGAGTATCATTTCAGAGTAGAAGGAGAGATAAGGAGTTTTCTAGACAAACAAAAGTTAAAGGAATTCATGACCACTAAACCAGCCCTACAAGAAATGTTAAAGGGACTCCGAGCAGAAAGGAAAAATCATAAGTAAGAGTAAGAAAAGGAGGAAGCACAAAAGCAGCAACAATAAGTATATCTGTAAAAATCAGTCAAGGGACTTGTAAAATACAAGGTTGTAAAGTCTGACACCATATACCTATAACATAGGTGGGGAGGGGAAAGGAGTAGTGAATGGGTCAAACTTAAGCAATTATCAACTTAATATAGGGTCTATGTGCAGAAGATGTTACATACAAACTTAATGGTAACCAAAAATAAAAAAAACAGTAAAAGATATGCAAAAAATAAAAAAAAAAGGAACCCAAGTATCTCATAAAAGAAAGCCAACTTATGAGAAAAGACAGGAGGGGAAGAAAGGAACAGAGAAGAACTATAAATAAATAAATAAATAAATAAATAAATAAATAAATAAATAAGACAAGTAACAACATGGCAATAATTACATACTATCAATAATTATCTTGAATATAAATGGATTCAACTCTCCAATCAAATAATATAGAATGACAGATGGATGAAAAAATGAGACCCATCTAAATGCTGCCAACAAGAGACTCATTTCAGACCTAAAGGCACATGCAGATTGAAAGGGAGGAGATAGAGAAACATTTTTCATGAAAATGAATGTAAGAAGAATGCCAGGCAAGCAATACTTGTAGCAGACAAAATAGACTTTAAAATAAACACTGTAACAAGAGACAGAGAAGGGCACAATATAATCATAAAGGGGACACTCCAATAAGAAGATATAGCAATTATAAGTATTTATGCACCCCAAATGGAAGCACTCAAGTACATAAAGCAGTTAATAACAAACATAAAGGAACAATTAATAGTAATATAATAATAGTAGGGGACTTTAACACCCCACTTATATCGATGGACAGATATCCAAACAGAAAATCAACAAGGAAACAATAGTTTTGATACATTGGACCAGATGGATTTAACAGGTATATTCAGAATATTCCATCCTAAAACAGCAGAATACATATTCTTTTCAAGTGCACATGGAACTTTTTCCAGAGTAGATCACATATTAGTCCATAAAATAAATGTTAACAAATTCAAAAAGGTTGAAATCACATGATGCATCTGTTTTGACCACAAAACTAAGAAACTAGAAATTAAGCACAAGAAAAAACTCTATAAGGGCACCTGGGTAGCTCAGTTGGTTAAGCATCCATCTTCGGCTCAGGTCATGATCTCACAGTTTGTGGGTTGGAGCCCCGCATCGGGTTCTGTGCTGACAGCTCAGAGCCTGGAGCCTGCTTCAGATTCTGTGTCTCCCTCTCTCTCTGCCCCTCCCCCACACGTGCTCTATCTCTCTCTCTCTCTCTCTCCTAAAAATAAATAATAAAACATTTTTTAAAAAGAAAAAAAGAAAAACCTCTATAAAGAGTACAATTACATGGAGGTTAAATAACAGGCTACTAAATGATGACTGGGTCAACTAAAAAATGAAAGGGGAAAGAAAAAAACACACGGACAGAAATGAAAATGAAACCACAGTCCATTTCTAAAAGAACTAGAAAAAGAACAATAAAACAAAACCCAAAACAAGTAGAAGGAAGGAAATAATAAAGAGTAGAGGAGAAATAAACAAAATAGAAACTAAAAAAAAACAAAAAACAGTAGAACAGATCTATGAAACTAGGAGCTGGTTCTTTGAAAAGATCAACAAAATTGATAAGCCTGTGGCCAAACTCATCAAAAAACAAAAGAGGGCTCAAATAAACAAAATCAGGAATGAAAGGGCAGAAATAATAAATGACACCACAGAAATACAAAGGATTATGAGAAAATATGAAAAAGTATATGCCAACAAATTGGACAACCTAGACAAAATGGCTAAATTTCTAGAAGCCTATAATATCCCACAACCAAATCTCAAAAAAATAGGAAATTTGAACAGATCAATTACATTCAATGAAATTGAATCAGTAATGCAAAAACTCCTAACATACAAAGTTCAGGACCAGGTGGCTTCACAAGTGAATTCTACCAAACATTCAAAGAAGAGTTAATACCTATTCTTCTCAAACTATTCCAAAAAATAGAAAATAGAAAATAGAAAAGGAAGGAACTTCCAAATTCATTATATAAGGTCAGCAGTGTATACACACGTATACATATACATCTGTATATATATACACACACACACACGTGTATATATATATGATCAGAACAATATATTTCAGAATAATAATATATATATATGATAGGGAAAGAGAAAGAAAAAGGGAAAGAGAAAAAGAAAAGGAAAGGGGAAGGGAAAGGAAAAGAAAGGAAAAAACTGTTGCCTCCTTTATGTCACAGTTAATAAATATAATTTGGACACTTTTGTGGTAAATATGAATGACTTAATGGCTCATCTAAAATTCAGATTCTTATCCAAGCTAACGGGAATACAGGCTGAGAACATGACCAGCCTGTCAACAGAGTTGGGGGCTCTATGGAACTCTCAGAGAAACTGAGACTGGGAGAACTCACCAGTTCCCCCTGGCTGCCCACTCCTGTCAGCCTCATTCATATTTTGTAAGTGATAAGGTCTAAAGGTTATCCTTCCCTTCTTCATGGGGGTTAAATTCTGGTTCTGGTGTCAATTTCAGGACAAAATCTAATCGTTTATTTTCTATTAAGATAAGTGGACTAAAAGGGAGGGTCGGGCAGGGCTACTTTGAAATCAGACTAATGCAGAGAAATGAGCTGCTTTTTCTGGTGACCAATAAAGTCTTTATTGTCAGGAAGCCAAAAAGAATTCCAGGAATAAATGAATGTTTTTGTGAATTTTGCAAACTGAATTTCTTGCCCATTCTCTAAACCCCTTTCCAGATAAATGATGCTATTTATTGCGTGCAGATGAACTTGGAAAAGTTGATTAGAATAATTTAATTTGTGTTACATACTTTTGGTGTTTATTTTTTTAATATACTTATAAATCAATAAAGCATAGAGAAAACCCTAGAAGAATATGTATGCTAAAATTAACAGGATTTCTAGGACATTAAAGAGATTAAAGTTTATTTTCATAGTTTTGTGTGCTTTATAAATTTATCTTCAATGAATGTGAATTATTTTTATCACGGAAGTACCCATATATAATAATAAAATATCTTCCATTTTGAAAATTATGTCATTCATTTCAAGTAATTTTCTGAGTAATTTCTTTGTATCGTATATTACAATTTGATTGGTCACATATTTATTAGAGAAGTATTTAATAAACACCGGCTCCACCCAAACTCACATATTAGGACTCAACTGGACACATTGTAGTTATTTATACTAAGTTGGGTCAGACAGGAAAAGCCACCTGGAGCGAGGGATTGTAGTGGCCTCCATGGTTTAGATAGAACCTGGGCATTTGATATAGTTGCAGAGACAAAAGAAAAGATATTTTATCCAAGGAGCCAGGAAGGAGGCAAAACTTCATGACAATAGCAGTTTTGAACTGGTTTGAATTCTTTTTTTTATTTATTTCACAAATAGTTTATTGGCAAATTAGTTTCCACATAACACCCAGTGCTCATCCCCACAAGTGCCCTCCTCCATGCCCATCCCCCCTCCCTCCCACATCCATCAGTCCTCAGTTTTTGTCAGCATTCAAGAGTCT